GGGGGGGGGGGGTAAATTTGCGAATTCTATTTCTGTTCCGTACTTTTCCCGTTTTTCAATGCAATTTTGTTCGCGATTTTTTTAATAAAAATAATAAAAAATGGTGTAGAAGACGATTTATCATGAGTCCCCGGATGCATCGTCAATCTCCCCTAGACTTTGCACTGCCATTCACTGCAGCCTTGTGTCCTTTAGTATTTTTCTCCTTTTTTCTATCCAAGATAATATACGGGACGCCGGATATATCTAGAAAGTCGTCCTTTTTATTCGAATCATTTTTTTACAGCGGTTTTTCTCACCTTTTTTGAGTGGAAAATTTCAGCCTGAAGTTCAAGGTCTGGATGCACTTCTGATTTCTCGACAGGTAGAATTGGATTCACAGGTGAATTATTGGCGAACGCATGCGGCTATACGGGAATTTATATTCTAGAAACGTACCGTGACGCCAATTAATTCCGTCATCATCCCTTAAATGATTATAAATTATTCTCCCTCTGACTAAAATTTGTTTAACTTTTAGAAACGATTGCAATTTAATTCCTAATTTCTTCTGTGTTCACTGTCATAATTACACTATTAGAGATTTACATAATTAAATAACTAATTCATTAATCAACGGAAGCTGAATCTTATCAAAAGATAAATCATATGGATTCCCGCGATTTTTCACCATTTTCCGGCGATAATTGGATTTAAATACCGATTCCGATAATATTCCGATTTTCTGGATAAAATTTCTAGGATTCAAGCAAATAAAAATTATCGGCAATTAAACCGAAAATTTTGGTTCGTCTAGGGACTGACCATAAAATCCTGAAGTTCAAGGCGATTCGCAAAAAAGGATTTTATGATTTCGATTAATGGAGAATTTTCATAGCCGTACTAATGATGTGATAAAAACACAATAAAACGATGACTATACTCGAGTGGAGAAATAAAAAAAAGGGTCTAACAAACAATACGTCTTTATAATAACAATCAAAGCGCCAATCACAAAATTTCGGGTATCAATCACCAGTTGAATCCATCACTCATCAATAATTAATTCCAAATATTCTCCATTCATCACTCAGTACTTCCCAAAATCTTATCCAATAAAAAAACCACCAACAAATTAATCAATTGCCTCAATCTCATAAATTATTACTCCCAGATAAAATTTAAAAATTTTCCTGTCACTTTTCCTCCATTTTTCGTTTTATCAAATTTAATGAACGATGAAAAAACAATTTATTCCTCAAATTCATCAACGAATTAACCAATTAATTAATTACCAGTGCCCAGTATATCAATTATTACTCCCAGATAATTGAATCAATTTATTTTCGTTTCCTCGTCGAAGAATTTTGTTAACGAGAAAATCTCTGGCTCCTACGCAGACTTTGACCCCCGGGCGTCTCTGAATCGCTCTGATTGTCTCTTTCTAATTATTCTTTCATTTGGGTAAAATTACCCCCCTCCCCGGTAACTAGTGACGGTCAACAGTGACGGCCGTTTACGTACAATCGTTTCTTTTTCCTCGATTCAGTCCGCGTCGAGTCGCGGTGACACGAGTACCGCGGATTCCTCCCATCGCCATTGAAAAATCATCCTAACAACAATAACTATAAATAAAATAAATAAATAATCCGCAATCACTCACCCTCGAGAGAAGCCCCGCATCGTTTAATGATTAAACAAATTTATTTATTTATTATTCGGTGTGTAATTCTGAATGTTTTGACGTTTGGATAACGCTTGGAGAATTTAATATAATGTGAGTAATTTTTCTTTGAGTTTCAATCGTTTTTTATCCAACCGAAGTACCCATTCAGAAAATTGTTGCTATATATAGTTGTAAATTTTATTTACTGAATTGCGAAGAAGTTTGTGGAGATAAGGAGGTCGTACTGTCATTTCCCTAGAGATTTCCCTCGGTATTGGCCCCGATTCCTCGACGAATACGAGAATTACAGACTAAAATTTGTTGGTAAATTAACTCTCATGCTGTAGGGTGAATTATACATTTTTTTTCGGTTAAAATTGCAGTATTTTTACGGAAGAATCGTTAACGAAATTATGAGACCGACTGAATTGAGAGAAAAATTTTCCTAGCAATTAATGAATTCAATCCTTGTTAATTTACTTGGGACGAGTAATTATTTTTCTCGGTGTGTAATCAATATCACCCTCTGTTTTCCTTCGACAAATGTCTTATGCAATGAGGCCAAAGGTTCCCAAATGCTTTAATCATCGATTGTTGCTCAGCTAACGTTTTATAGATGATCAACTGGCGGAATATCGCAGTAAAAAATGTTGATAACTAGTTGATGAGAAATTAGTTTTTTATTATCCACGATTTTTTATCGAGAATAATTTTTTTTTTGCTGATGCATCTGGCTTCCTCATTCCTCTGCACGTGAGGAAATGACCGAGACAAAATCAAGGTTTTCAGTTGTTCCTCGTGTACTCGAGTAATTGCAATGAATGTACCACAAGTCAAAAAAAAAATCGTTAAAGTCAAGAATAAAAAATTACGAGCAATAATTACCTCTAGATTCAGCTCTTCAGTAATTTGTTAACTCGCCCTGCAACTATCGACTCACGCTCAAACAATTAAATGACAATTAAAACACTTAAGTTAAATTTAAATAAAAATTACTGATCAATCTCACAGTAAATCCATTAAATCTGATTTTTCTCTATGAGGAATTCATTGCATGCCATCAAATAATAAATATTAAAATTTTGTTTCTGTTTTTTTTTTATCAGGCGGTGAACCACTGAGTAACAATTGAGTGCCGGTAATTGTTAATTTGTCGACAAGTTAGAGATTGAAGATTGAAAAATGAAGCTGGAGGGAAATAGTTCGAGGGACGATGATGCCAATGGAATTCTTCTGGTGCCGAGGAAAGATTTACCTGTGAGTGTTGAGATTGTTCCGGCCCAAACAAGAACAATTACACATCTGCCAAAAAGACCACCTGTGGATCTTGCATTCACAGATTTAACGTACACCGTCCGAGAGGGCCGAAAAGGAAGTAAGTACCAAAATCAAAAATTCTCATTTGAATTCTCAAATAATTATCAACGAAATTTCGTTAAATGAGAAGTAACCCTTTACCAAAAGGAAAAATTCAGTAATTCAATAATCTGGAAGTAGAAATTAAGGCGATTAATTAATTACTTCATTAATCACTCGGTTAATTAATCCATTAATTAATGCATTAATTAGCTATTTACTCCATTATTCTAATTTTTAATTGTAATTGATTTATTGAAATAATTAATTTTTATTTACCAAAAGATATTTATATTTATGGCTAATTATTGATGAATGATGGATTAATTGTTATCATAATTTCCCACTCAAAATTTATTTACTACAAATAATTTATTCAAACCATAAAAAAATGTCATAATTATGTCCAGAATTTGTAGAAAAATTTCTGAATTTTTGCCTTCGAAATAGAAAAGAAAATTGTCTTCGCTATTTTCCAATCGAGGAGTCCATAAATATATTTTTTTTATTAATTAATTATAATAAGATTATAAAAGACGAAGTGTTGAGGAAAGCCGATAATTTACCAATTGGAGAAATGAGTTGTGAGTTGTGCGGTAAAATCACTTATTGGGATTGAGTCATTTATCTTTTTTTGATGATAAAAACTCAGTGTTATGAACGCAATTGTTTTCACGGTTTTTTAACTGTCGCATTAATATAATAGTGTCGTTGCTTCACGTCACAGTGAGTTCTACCACATGAATGAACGTAATTCATCATTTACAGAGACCGAAATTATTCTTACTCAATAATTCGGTCTCTATTTCCCTAATGTCCTCGATAATTCATACTGGAATCTAATTCATGAGTTTTTTAACCTAGTCATTGGGTCGATTCACTGAGGATTTTGCAATGAAAATAGTTACGAGAGAATGAATTCAGCCTTTCATTTTTTATATCAGTACTTTGCTATTTCAGAGGTGAATATTCTCGGTCATTAGTCATTCCAACAATCGTACGAATAATTAAGAACAAGAGATCAATTAATCATCTTTCTCAAAGAATAATTTGATTTGGTGCTTCAACAAATCTTGATTGCCATTTTATTGCGGATTCTGTTTTCACTCATCTCTTGCTCCATTGAGAATAATTCACGTAATAATAAAAACCATGATTTAAATAATTAAAATCAATTGTTTATTTGAGTTGAAGAATTTTTCGAATGTGCGACTAACTTGAAAAATTATTCAAATAACAATCACAATTCAATAAAATTACTGAAAATAATTACATCAAAAAGAGAATTCATTGATTTTCAAAAAAACTATTGGTTTAAGTCGAACAATTGGTTTTAGATTAGTAAAAATACCCATTTATTTTGGTGAAATGAATAATTCTTCTGTGTACTATAAATTTCCTAGTGCATCGGAACTGTCAGCCATTGATATTTCAGTTCACAAGAGAATGATAAATTCTTGAAAACAACAAGAACTGAAACGTGATAGCTTGACGTTTTAGACAACTGTGTTGATGACATGATAACTACTGACCTATGATCTTGGCCAACATGACCGCTTATCTACGCATAACCCGCGACTTAATCTCCACTCAATTAAAAACAATGAAGAAAATAGTGCATTTTTTGCAACAATAGAATGCGTGAAATAAGAAACTTTTGCGTTTAAAAGTTGCAGCTTCATGACGCTCATGAGGACAGCTGTTGAATCTGCCACATGATTGTCATAAAGACCAAGAGATAATGACTCTGAAATTATAATTAATTACATTCACTCGGGACTGACACCTCTTCATCCTCGGCATTCGTTTCATCTCCAGGGAAATCATTCTTTGCACAAAAGAAATTAATTAAAAAAATGATAAATGTTGATTCAATTAATTTTCGTATTGCAATTCAGCGGTTGAAAGATTGAAAACTCATCGGGAGATTCTGGACTGAAAAATAAATAGAAAAGTCTCGGAATTTAATTACAATTGAATTGAATTGCTTACTCGGTAAGTTGAATTGCAGTTTCAAATTGTCTGTTGGCGTCTCTCACAAATAGCCTCTCAAAAATCTCGTGTTTGCAGTTTTCCGTTGACTTTAATCACACAGTGAAAGTTGTCATTTCCAAATAAATAATGATAGAGTTTCTATTACGAAATTCAATGACTCTAATATACATTGAAGCGAGTGCGGAGGTGAATTACGAGAAGATTGATTTGGTTTTCAACTCAATTTAGCGTGGATCTTTGGTTATTGGACAAGGTTGAGACATTTCATTGACCTCATATTCAGACTTGTGTTCACCTCGAGTCCAATGACAGAATAACAATGAGAAACAGCTGTGATAAATCCTGACTTATCAAAAGTCCCAAGACTTACAGAGAGAGGGAGAGAGATATGAACATTTGTTGTCAGTATAAGTGACAATTTTTCTGGTAAATATTGCAATATTTTCGCAATCTCTACCGAAAAATATTGGAAATTTGACAGTCCCTCGTTCTGATCGCGTATTTTACTGCAATTTTTCCATCGTGTCGATGTAAATTCTTGGGAATCCGTGATAACTCATCTCGCTATGAGATATTAGCAAATACGCTGATGATATCTCTTAGAAAGTCGTTGCAGCAATTCGTTTCAATGGGAATTACACAATTATCTCTTCCTCCATTGCACTTACCAAAGTGGGAAAATTCAAGTGGAGAAATAACTCAAGAATTACTCTCTTACGCTTCACTATTTTGTCGATTATATCTTCTCGATTAGTTCATGTTCATTAATACATTTTTAAAGAATTATTGAAAATTTGAGAAATTCATTTCGTGAATAAATGAATTAGAAATGGAACAATTCAGTGAGAATTGGAATTCCCCCATTTTTTTCAATGACTGAATTACTAGTAAAATGTCTAGAGATCTGTATTTTTTGTTGTCAGTGCAAATACATTGCAAATTCAAATTCGCAAAAACGTAATTCACTTTCAATTACTGAAGCGGAATTTTTTCTCGCGAATTCTCCTGCTTCTCCACAAATGGATGACAACCGACGAGAGTAATAATTTCGCAAGAGAAAAATTATTTCTAAAAATGGTAGCACTGAGTACTTCTAAGAAAATGACAATTTAAAAGAAAAACTAGAATTATTTTCGATAATTAGATGATTCATAAATATTTTTTTTAATAAATAAACTTCAATTGAATTCAATATTTGTCGTAAGGAGCAATAGAGAATTGATTTGAAGGCAAAAGCTGAGTTTTGGTTGAAAGATTTTGACGTCTCCATTAAATTTTGCAAACTATGCAAACGATTATGCAACAAGTGGATGAACTTGACTGACTTATTACGAATTAAATTCCCGAGGAGAATAATTCATAATTCAAGGAAAGTTTAGGGACGATAAAACTGTTTTCTGGAATAAAATGAATGAATTCTCTGCATAAATTGAATTTTTTGAGAATATTGAGAATATAAAACAACCGGTTGACCCAGTGCAACTTTCGAGACGAGTAATTACGGAAATCATCATTGCAAAATGACAAATTCACATTCGGTGATGTGATTATTCGTGCATAAACACACGTCACGCTCGCTTGAAATCACGAAAATCATGGTATTATGGAATTATTGTTGCGTGTTCACTTCAGCTGTTGATAGTTTTTTTTTAGAACTAAACACGGGTCGAGAATTCATTCATGTTTTTGTGAATTGAGAGGAAATCCTTGAGAAGACATTAATATTATCTACTCACAACTCGAGTTATTAAATAATATCAAGCGCAATCGAGCATCTGCATTGTCTCATCAGTATTTAATTTCTTACTAGAAGGTTTGGAGATAGATTTAAGTAAAAATCGATCAATCACTTGTCGAATTAAATCCCCCGGTCTGCGAAATGCCAGAATTTTTTATTAACATCTAATAAATATTAATGAATGCAAGTTCTCAGTGGAATTTAATGTCCTGTTATCTCCCAATGTCACTTCCGTCTTCAATGGAAAATCTTTCCCACCATGATGAATCATCACTTGAATTTATTCATCAATTTCGCAAAAAAAAAAAAAAATTAAGTACAATACATGAAAATGTCAGCGATTGCCAAGATTAATTACCGATTTTTTTAATCAATAAAAAAAAAACATTCTCTTTCATTTTTCATGGCATGAATTATTTATTGCTACTTCACGTTTGTAGAATTCGTGAAGAATATTATTTTTGGTAGAAATTCTGTTGGTGAATGACAATAAAATTGTTAATATATATTTTTTCTGTGCAACTGTCGATTTATCGGAATCTCATGAATAAATCATAACGAGACTCTGGGGATAATTTAGTTGAATCATTGAGTGGGGAAACGAGTGAATCACAAAAGCCACAAACAGTGGACTTTGGTCAATGGTTATCAGTACTTCTCTGTGTTTATATTGCTCTTTGTCCATTCGGAGATATCATTGCACTCGTTTCCGATTGATCACAACAATGTGATCACAAATCAAACACCCGAGATGACAGAATGATAATTATTGGAATAAATAATGATTGAAAGATTTATTTGTAGAAATAAAAAAAAATATAAAAATTTCAAAATGTTTGTGTTACTTTGAAAATTAAATTGCATAAAATCGCATTGTGTATCAAAATAACTCGGCGATTTTTATTTTTCAATCTCAGTTAATTTTGTAGTTGCAAACAGAAATGACGGAATTTAAGTAATTATAATTTTCACTAAATAATGGGAATTGGCAAAGAAATGTATGACGAATTTAAAAAAATTCACGTGTCATTGTCTTAAATTCAAATATATAAAACTAAATATTCGCATTTCAGATGTAAAGGCAATTCTAAAATCCGTGAGTGGAAGACTGAGATCCGGCGAGCTGACAGCCATAATGGGACCGTCTGGTGCTGGAAAGTCAACTCTTCTGAATATCCTGACAGGATACAAGTGCGTATCTCCGTCTTTCCATTAAATTCCTAAAAAAATCCAATCCATCACGAAAACTCCCGCAATTTTTTACGGTCCCCAGGCCAATCCAGAGACATCATCCACGTCATTATTTCTTTATTCAAAGAAAAATCGTAATTACACGATTCCACTAGTCCCAATTAATCACCGCAGGTATCGCAATTGCACATTTAATTCACTGCCTTGTGTCTGCCAACTTGTATGCACAATCGATGTCTTTAAACTTTACTCTTGTATCTCCACTAAATAGATTCTACATATTTGCAATTCTCCCACTGAATAACAAATTATTCAAATGGAATTCGAACTGAAATAACTTAGTAAATCGATCTCGATTGTATCGAAATTATTTCCCTCTAGTTTCATCACTGAATTATTTAATTATCATGAATCCTCCTCCACAACTCATTGTTTAATCATAATTCATCATTCGCCTAATTAATATTGGCAAGTGAATAAGGAATTGATTTTTAGATTTATTGTTAAATTTTATTAGCGTATTACGTGAAACTCGTTCACTCCCTTGTACGTCACATGAAACCCAGTGACCGGTGACTGTCAAACCGGAAGTGATGTCATGAGACAGCAGACGATCCAAAGTTTATAATTTTTTAAGTTAGTAACGAGAAAAGGTAATGAGCCTTCTGGCACATTCCTCTTCCATGTTTCTCCTCGAAGGTCAGGTAGAAACAATTTTCCGTAAATAAATTATGCATCGACCATTTGCCGTCTGGATAATCCCTCAGTTTTTTCCATTTTTTTCTTCGTCTTGATTCAAATTATAATAATATTTTTCCTTAATTCTTTCATTATTGTCTCTCGTAGTGGTAAAAATAAAGAAAGTGAGAGTTCAAAATTACTTTTAATGTGTGAATCTAAACGAGTACTCCAACAAATTTCACTTCTGCACGAGAGCTGACACAATTCATTATATTTCTTTCATAAATTACATAATTTTGTATAAATAGTAGTAACTCATAAGAATTCATGAATAATTTATTTGGATGAAGGAAAGAATTCCGCTGGATTGCACTGAGAAGAAAATTATCTACTCGACCCACAAAACGTTGATATCAAAATTTGTAAATATGTTTTGCTGGATTTACAATTGGAATGTCTGGCAAAATTGACAGGGAGAGAATATATTCTAGCTCTCAATCAGATATGTGAATTTTTGGAATGAATGAATAATTATATTCTTATTTATTCTGAATAACTGTTGACACTCATGGAGTCATAAAGACAAAACAAGTGGAAACAGTCATTGTTTTCTAAATTTCTCAGCATTGCATCATCTCCACTTATTTCCCACAGCCATTAACGTGAGACCCATAAAATTACTCAACAAATGACATCCACAACCGCCAAGAATTATTCTTACGAATTACTTTGAGAGCAATAATAATCGGCGAAACTCTAAATATTCACAACACAGGGAAAAAATCATTAATAAAACAACCCTTTTGGATTTCCGGGGACTAAATTCAGAAATTCAAAAGAAGTCTGTGAAACAGGAATTCAAATTTTACAAGGGACAAAATAAAAAGATGTTTTTGCATAACAGATTACGCAGACTTTGTACAAATTTTCCTGCTCCAACTGCATATGATTGACAGATTTTTATATTCCGCTTTGGCTTTTAGTTCTTCCAATTTTTCATTGGTAGTCCTCCATTTTAATCCCCAGGACTACTGGAATGGAAGGCAGCATCACAATGAATGGCGACGAGAGGAATTTGAGTACTTTCAGGAAGCTGTCAGCCTACATAATGCAAGACAATCAGCTCCATGGAAATTTAACAGTGGACGAAGCCATGAGAGTGGCAGCAAGTCTCAAATTGAGTTCTAAAATTCCGAGATTTGAGAAGGATGAAGTTGTGAGTAGAAAATGCATTCATCAATTTATAATTTCCAAAGATTTCCAATTGATAAAATCAATGACAAATCCATTGACTGATTATTGCAGATTGAAGAAATTCTGCAGACCCTGGGTCTTGCTGAACATCGACGCACAATGACCTCAAATCTCTCCGGAGGTCAGAAAAAAAGACTCTCGATAGCCCTGGAGCTAGTCAACAATCCCCCAATAATGTTCTTCGACGAGCCCACGAGGTAAATGCAACCACAAGTCCTTAAACACCGAATAAATTAAATAAACTATTAAATGTGCATGCACTTAGCATGCACATTTGACCGTTTGTGAATTCGACCTTTTGTCTTCAAGTTTCATCGGTTTCCTTTCATGTCTTTGTTTGTCTATCTTTATTGTCACGACGAGTGCATTGGACCGACCATTGGCCGACGGTGGGGACGTGACACTGTAGAAATACGTGAAAAAAAAATCCAGAATTATAGCCTCGGAGAAAGCGATGATACACGTACCAGTTTCGTACTTTTATCCTTATTTTTTTACCGTGCGGTTTTTCGGTTCTACTGTTTTTCGAGACTTTCACTCGATTAGCATTAGCCTCAGTGGTTCTATTCAATACTCATTGTGAGCTTTTGGAGAGATGAAGAAAATTAGAAGTTCAGGATTTTTTGGACTGTAAGATAATTAGACAGAAAAATCTTTAGCCTTTTAGAAGAATTAACAGATGCACTCCAAATAAAACTATAGATCTTAAAATGACAAATAAATCACGTCTCCGGATGGACGACCTACCGTACAAGCCTTGAAAGCCATATCTCGGGGACTTTCGAACTGGTTTTCAAGTCCTTCGCACCGCTTCCTGTTTGTTTTTTCACTGTCAAGGGCATTCATGAATTTATAAAGAGAGGAAAATGTAGCGCAACATATTCCGCCAAATATTTCACAATCTGATGATAGATTTTTTGTGCAGTGGATTGGACTCGTCGTCATGCTTCCAATGCATTTCCCTTCTGAAAACATTAGCGAGAGGTGGAAGAACAATAATTTGCACAATTCATCAGCCCAGCGCTCGATTATTCGAGATGTTTGACTCTCTATACACATTGGCAGAGGGTCAGTGTGTCTATCAGGGCTCGACAACACAATTAGTTCCATTTTTGAGATACCAGGGACTCAATTGTCCGAGTTATCACAATCCCGCATCATTCAGTAAGTTTGTACTTATTACCTCAAACTATCGAGCTTTATCACCACAAGTATTTAATCTACAAATTCGATGATAGAGAAATTCCAATGACTATATCCAATCACCTGTTACTCAATTATTCTCGTTATCTAGTAATCGAGGTCTCGTGTGGAGAATACGGCGACAACATCGCCAACTTGGTGTCAGCTATAAAGAATGGACAACACGATATTCGTGAAGGCTATCCATTTCCAGAGTCCAAGGCAGAGAACTTGAACAATTCTATTCAAGTAGTTAATAAGTTCTCTAAGGATGCCGAGGCTGTTGGGACTAAAGTACTCACGGGTAAAAATGATGTCAGTAATATTAAGGAGAAGTATCTGGATGAGAAGACCAATGTTAATGGAGGAATCATTCACGGATTTGCCACCACTGATATTACGAAACGCAGTTAGTAGTGATTCTCATTATTTTGCGGTATTTTTTTATCTTTGTGTTGTAATTGATTTGATTTTTAGACGAACTGGCGATACCCATTGATATGGAGAAGAAAGACAATCTCGATGCAACCGATACACTCTTGGGGGAAGTCATTGAACAGCCACGGAGATATCCCACCTCGGAGTTTATACAATTCTGGGTAGTTCTCAAGAGAACATTGCTCTTCAGTAGACGTGACTGGACTCTCATGTATCTTCGACTGTTTGCTCATGTCCTCGTGGGATTCCTCATTGGCGCACTTTACTACGATATTGGTAACGATGGGGGCAAGGTTCTCAGTAACTTGGGATTCCTCTTCTTCAATATGTTGTTCCTCATGTACACATCGATGACGATAACCATTTTGTCATGTGAGTTTTCGAGATAACTCTACAAGAAGTTGAAATGAGAATTGAAATGAATAATTAATTATGATGGTTTCAGTTCCACTGGAAATGCCCGTGCTCATGAAAGAAAACTTCAATCGATGGTATTCCTTGAAATCGTATTATCTGGCTATAACTGTCTCAGATCTTCCGTTTCAGGTAAGAGAAAATTACCATTCCCAAAATTGAACTCCACTGTACAGGTACAATGGAAAAATTGTAACGTTTTGACAAATTGCAGACAATCTTTTGCATAATGTACTTGGTGATCGTGTACTTCCTGACGAGTCAACCCCTTGAGGCGGAGAGATTCTTCATGTTCCTGGGTGCATGCCTCCTGATCTCTTTTGTGGCCCAATCAGTGGGTCTGGTGGTGGGTGCAGCGATGAACGTGCAGAATGGAGTGTTTCTGGCTCCAGTGATGTCAGTTCCGTTTCTCCTCTTCTCAGGATTCTTCGTCAGCTTCGATTCGATACCAGTCTATCTCAGATGGATAACATATCTCAGTTACATCCGATACGGGTTCGAAGGGACAGCCCTCGCAACATACGCATTCGATCGTCCAAAGCTTAAGTGTCATCAGCCATACTGTCACTTCAAAGATCCATCGACAACTCTGGAGGAGCTTGACATGGTGAATGCTAGCTTTACCCTCGATATTCTCGCTCTGTTGCTTATTTTTGTTGTGCTCAGAGTCGCTGCCTACATGTTCCTCCGCTGGAAGCTCAAATCCGCTCGATAATCCGAGGATTATCGAAATATATTCAACGAACAAATTAGAAAATAATTAATTTCTTCATTATTTTTTATCGAGATGTTGATGGGAAAATCTTAGAATGGATGGAGTCACTCACGTGGTCAATAATTCAGTGAGAAAAACTCATAGAGTTCATGGTACGGGTTGATTATCGGTTAATTAATTAATGTGTGATTATTGATCGATTAGCTCGTTTTTATCTTGAAGTAATCTAATTTATTTTATTTTATCTTTAATTCACTCGGTTTAAGACTCAATGGTGAACCTGGGGAGATGGTACGTCAGTCAGGGTATAATTGATTTGTTTGTTAAGAGATTAATTGTTTAAATACTAATTCAATTATTCGGGAGAGGAAATATTATTCGACGTTTTCTTTTGGAGTTTCTTTTTCAATTAATCATTTGTCTCTCTGAGGGTGAAAAATTAATTGCAGATGTGCCTTGATGTTTTATTCCGTTTCATGAATGCATTATGAACGATTGGCAACGATTTTTGAGTCGTCGATGGCTGTGAAGGTCTTAAATTGTAAATATTCCTCGTGAATTCAAATTATTATTTTTCGTTGATGGAACAAAATTCTCGCGCACTCGCAATTACTTCTCTTGCCAATCCCTGAACACGTCAGGGAGGAAATATTCGAGCCAAATACATTATACTAACTCCCAAAACACTATCAATTGTTTATAATTTTTTTAAATACGTAATTGAATCAGGTTTACGTAATTGATTGTGGAATCACTCGAATGATTCCGGGGCGATGCAAAATTGTATTTATGGAATTGTTATTTTTATGGTTAATCCGTGATTAATTGCCAGGTTTATCAACCAATATTTGAGAGGGCGTATTCACGAAAATGTTGATCAAGATGGTGAACACACTAATAAGGCAATTTATCCGCTACTACGAGTAATTGCTGTATTTTGTATAGGATATTTGTTACGAATAAAGTTTCGATTTTTTTGAAAATACAAATGTCTTTTCTTTTCTTAAGCTTCAGCATTCGTGAGAATTCAATTATTCAGTTATTTTTTGTCTTCCAATATTTTTCTCAACCCAGAGGAAAGAAATTGAGAGAAAATTTGAATAAGTGATGGCAATAAAAACGAAAAGAGAATGAACTTGTAAGTAAATACAGATGAATCACTCGGCAATTGTACCTTTCCATGAAGAGCCATAAACGCACATGTCGGTGGAAACAGCGAGAATCAAAACATTCCTCCCGGAAAATAAAAATTTCCTCTGGGATGGCTATTATTTTAAATATTCAGCAGTTATGACGAACATGACCACTGAATTACCCATTGACCTCTCGTTTTTATCACAAACAAAAACCCAAGTAAACTACAACAATACGATTCATTACTTAGCCGTTGTGATTTGATTGTTTTGTTACTTTATTGAGACTTCAGGATAATTTTTTAAATCATTATCATCTCTTCATGTGAACAATCATAATAATAATAATCTTTCGGATAATCGAAAATCTTGATAATCAAATTGCCGCAATGTTTCTCCAGAAATTAATAATAAATTTCGAAACGAATTAACACGGAAATTTGTAAATAATAACCGACCGCGCGATTTCCTTGAAGTCGACAATTAAATTGATTGATCATCACTATAAATGACGGAATTGTTGGCGGAATTCAATAACGGATAAGTAAGTAAATGGTTAAATTGGTGGGCGAAGAGAGAGAGGGTGGGGATGCTATTGATAAATTAAAAGTGAAAAATGGAGGGGAAAAAAAGGTAATCATTTCCTTCGACGTATGTTATCAGTGCCCGTCATACACGTGTATGATTTTTTTTTTCGATTGTTCGGTTGTGAATAAAACACGTGTGAGTGATGACATAAAGATAATTTACATATTTGATGGAATTGTGTAGAATAATGATATAATTCGAGATCCATTATTGCGGAATTAGCGGTATAATCCCGACGGAAGATTTTATTACTCTTCAAACGATCGATCAGTTATTTTTTTAATGCACTAATTTGTTGGTTCAATTAATTTATAATGCAGTATATTTAGTGTATTATATTAGAGGCCTCGAGTAATGTATTATTGTTATAAAAAATTGTCGAGTGAGATTAGAACTTCTGTTATCAGCACTTCCCGCAAAAATTTAATTAATGATAGACAAATTGTTGCGATGTTTCCAAATGTTCTGATTGTTTATCGGAATATCCGGACGCGATAAATCATTGAGGTCAAAACCTTCAATCGAATATTCACTCATTTCATTAACATTTGGTCGGGAATTGAGTGATGCGGAAGGACTTGGGCAATTCCGGGAGAAATAAATGACAGAAAAATAGAAAACCACATGAAATCTCAATTAATTATGAAAAATTCCAAAATCCATCACTCCATTGGTCTATTTTTTTCAAAGTATTAAAATAAAAATGGAAAAATTAAAACTAATCAATTTCCAAAAATTTCAAAAATTCCAATAATTACTAAAATTCGTCTTTTTTGTTAAGAAAAAAAAAGAGAAAATCATCGCTTTCGCAATATTCCGTGTTAAAAAATTAATCGGCGTCTTTCCCAACAATTTCATTGTAATGCCTCAACGCGTCATTAAATTATCATGAAAAAAAGGAAAAACAGCGTGAAAAATGGAGTCTTCAGCCCGTGAATTGGCACGGATGGTCAAAATGCATTGGTGAGTTGACATACAGCAAGTGAACTATTACTGTGAAGCTACTGTACAGACGATATTGGATTTAGTACTCGACGAGTGTTCAACGCGCGCAGAGTGAAGCCCTCAGTGATAAATTCCCATTTCTTCGTGAATAAAAAAGCAAAGTAAGACACTTCCTCTGTCTGCACTTAAATTTCTACTTCACTCTATCATTTCTAATCCTAGGCGATGAATAGTGGACTCTCGTGAAAGTGCACTCATAACTGAGAAATATATAATTAAAAAGGTATTTGATAGTGAAATGATAAGACTAAACACAAAAGACTGCGATCCACTTCAATAATTTTTCTAACATCTGCACTACAAGTAGTTATTATTTTTGACCTGTCACTTTCTGCGTAGTAATTCTAATAATAAACAATTTTTTCGGTAATTAGAATGACAATTTTTCAAAGATTTTAGATATTTTGATTTTTAAAGAAAAAATTGGAATATAAGTTGTGAAAAATAACAAAAATTATTATTTTTGGGTGGATTATAGTAAACTGAGTAGAGGGTCTCACGATAAATGAATTGAATACATGACAAATTATCAATTTTGGAATAATATAAAATGTACTCTATATAAAAACATATAAAACATATAAAAAATAATAGTCAAGTGTGATCTCGCCAGGTTTATCTCATTTTAATAAAGTCTATTTACCAATAAAAGGAAATAAATTGATTAATTTTAAAAGGATGAAAACGGAATAATCAATCTTTGAATAATCCACGGAATAATTCCGCGTCGATTAATCGATGATCATCTGTACCACGAACTAAGTTTTCCTCACTTCATTAATCACTAGAAGCGTGATACTAGCGAGTTAAATATTTCCTGATTGAAGCATCAATTTAAAAAAAAAACATTCTCAAGTCCTAATTGATTCGCGAAATATTTTGTAATAAAATGTCTTAGAAGTTGTAATTTCCCCGTTCATTCAATAGACATCAGAATAATTCTGATAGAATTACGATAAACATTTCTCGACCATTTCCTATATAAAATAAATTATGTGATAAATGAAAGAGTGCAGACATCAAGCGCCGGCTATATACTATATTGAATATATATGCTATGCAATATATTTATTATCTGTCATGTAAAAATGAAGAATAATCACTAGATCGAATAAAATTCAAGTTCTAATTTTTCAATTGCTGAAAAATTTAGTTTTACTACTGAGGAGTGGTTTATTTACCAAAAACTTTTGATTTCAGGAGAAAAAGTCGGTGGAGACAACTCCAGTGAATGATGCCGAGTGCATCGAGATATTTCAATTGAATCGTCTAAATTAATAATAAAAAAACGCAATGTGCGAGGAAAAAAGGAATAATACATGCATTTTCTCCGTTGGACATGCAAGGAGAATGCCCTCAGTGGATATAGAATTCTCGGAGATCACCTACACGGTACCATCTGGGAGGAAAGGTCAGTGAACCTTTTCCAAATATTTAAATTGCCCAGAAAATTCACTCCCCAATAAAGATACTCTCATATCTAATTAAAAAATTCCACTCCTTTCTTTATCGACAGCAATAAAAATTTTTTCTCCCCAATCCGCAAAATTTCTGGAGAACATAAATAAAAAGATATATCCTATAAATTGCGCTGGCTTATTCTGGCTGGCTTCATTTATATTATATTATAATAATTATTACATATTATATATAATATACAATATATGATCGATGGGAAAAGTAAATGAAACTGATGTGTGAATTCTGTAAATGAGATGTGAAAAAAGGTTTTTACAAAAATTTACATTTTTTCTCGGGGAGTCAATGACTCAGTAAACATCAAGTCCTCGAAGTACATTCCAGTGACCCTTTTTTTCAATGAATGACAAAATCTCCATTTCAAATTCCCGCCACATAATCTGGGGTCATCACCGAAGGTTACGATTAAATGATATGAACTCAGTGCCACTGTTTTTATCGGATGTGTCTAGTCAGAAACTATTCACATTAATTCCCAACTCATTTAAAATTTAAGTAAATTCAATTCATCTCAAAGTATTTACCATAATTTTCCTGTAATTCCCATAAATTATCGCGGAATAAAAATTTCGAATCAATTCAATTAGAAATCATCTTCGTTAATCTTTGATATCAATTATTTCGCAAACAAATAATTCTGGAAAAAAGAATGAATATCGGCAAACGCTATCAAATCCTTCAATATATTTATTATCTTCAAGAAAAAATTGACATTGAAGATATATCGTGTTTGGATCGGATTCCCTAGTGTGCGTAATTTTTCTATCCAAAGTACAGGGACTGTACCCAGTGTTTACAGTAGTTAGATTTCTCAATTCCATTTTGCTTATTGTCCATTGACTCATTGTTCTGATGATTCGAATCCATGACAGGAAGAAAATAATATCTCAGGAACTGTTGGCTAAAAATGTCACTTAAGTGATAAATACTTCAATCCAATGTAGAAATCAAAAGCAACTAGAACTGCTCTCTCTTATTTTAAGGGCAACATCCTTGAATTAAATGAAAGAGTCACTTGCTTCAAGGAGTTCCAGTCGTTAGACTCTAGAAGTGCGAATTCCTAGACACGAGTTATTTAGATGAATAAATAAATAAGAAAATAAATTAAATAAGACGAAAACGATGAAATCCATTGATTAATTACCTAGAGAGCAATTTAAAATCAAAATTTGAATTTAAATATTCAATTATCATTATTATTATTGTTATTATTATTGTTGTTTGATCTTTCGAAATGTAAAAATTCCGTGGAATATTGTAATTTTTACCGAAAATTAAAAATAAATTGAGAATAAATTGCTTGTGAAGGCGATTAATTAATTAGGATTTTTTCACGAGAATTCATGAGACTTTTCTGGTGGTTGCATATATTTTTTATTTATTTCAGGCTCGAAGATGATTTTGAGAGGGGTCAGTGGACAATTTAAGTCTGGGGAACTCACAGGCATCCTAGGGCCTTCAGGAGCCGGAAAATCTACCCTACTAAATATTCTCGCTGGTTACAAGTAAAAGATTTCATCGAATCACCTAAAAGCCCCGGCATTAGATTCAGAAATCCGTACAAGAAATATTCCATTATTATTAACAACTTTAATATTATTTGACTCTTCTGAGAAATCATCGGTTCGAGGAAGTACGATTTTGCAAAAATATAAAATCACTTCTCTCAAGAGCATTAATCCTTGGCTATTTTTTTTTTCTCGGCAATTGTAATGTGACCTCTTGTCTACAATTAATGGGAAAAACATGAAAAAAGAAAACAAAAAAAAATTGATAAGCAACAATTCGTAATTATAGCCTTCGATTGAGTCATGATCGAGTCAATCATTGAAATTGCGGCAGTTCCTCAGTGGTTTCCTTGCGCACGTGCATAACATCATTCTATTCATACGTATTCGAGGAATATATCGATTACAAAAATCAATTATCTGATTGTTGAAGATCCATCGGAATGGCGGGACACATCACTATCAACGGAATCAAATTGGACCTGAAGAGATTTAAGAAATTATCTTGTTATATTATGCAAGAGGATCTGCTCCAACCCAAACTTACTGTCCTAGAGGCTATGAATTTTTCTGCCGATTTAAAACTAGGATTCAATATTAATCGAGAAACCAAAAATGCTGTCGTAAGTCAATCGATCTATCGAACAATCTCAAGTTAAAAAATGCCGCAATCAATTTTTTCTCTAGATTCCAGAAGAGACACTTCAATTTTCACCTTTTTTCCTTTCTTAATATTCGTGTTTTTGCAATTAGCAATTTCCATAAATGTTTTTCGTTGCTCAATTAGCAATTGATCAATCTTTCATGTGTAATCAATCATCTCTGCATGATAAAGACGTTTACACCGATTTTATAGAGCAAAAACTGGAGATAATTTTATAGTACGAATCCAACAAGAAAGTCTTTTTCTTCTAGTCTGAAAATTTCGATTGCTATTTTTATAATGCAATGATAATTTAGATTTTCTACTAGACTGGCGATTTTTCCCGAAAACGTCACGATAAATTTAACGATCAATTCGAGCAAAAAAGGAAATAAAAATCGATGAAATGATAAATATTTTCAAGAACATCAAAATAAGAAATAAAATGAATTCATAACAAATAAAATAGTAAAACTGTTAAAAATTAATACGTATCCCATAAAAATGATGAAATTATACTAAACGAGTGACATTAATTTCCCAGATTAACGATATCTTGGAGACTTTGAGACTGACAACAGCAAGAGATACAATAACCGAGAGATTATCCGGAGGTGAGAGGAAGAGGCTGTCGATTGCCCTTGAGCTCGTTAATAACCCCCCAGTGATCTTCTTAGACGAGCCTACAACGTAAATATCAATTATCACCTGGAAAAAATGAGAAAAGAAAAAAAATTGATAAGACATTTTTATTAATTGTCAATTCACCGTAGAGGGCTGGATGATTTATCGTCTATCCAGTGCATTGAGCTGCTCCAGAGGGTCGCAAAGAGTGGAAGAACAGTAATTTGCTCTATTCACACACCAAGTGCTAGTATTTTTTCAAAATTCCATCATGTGTACGTCGTTACCGCAGGTCAATGCGCATACAGAGGTCCTGCCAACGGTGTCATACCCTTTCTCCATCAATTGGGAATTGATTGTCCCATTCATTACAATCCTGCCGATTTTGGTGAGCAATTACTTTTTTTTTTTATAAGATTTTAACTAATTTCAACTATTATTTTCTAATCCTGCAGTTATCGAAGTCTCTTGTGGAGAATATGGAACTGATCTTGTAGAAAAAATGATCACCGCTGTTGACAGCAGGTGTCCCATCATCAACATCTCTAGATCACAAAAATGTGGTCTCGATGGTGAGGAGAAATGTATTAAAATATCCTGGTGGGAGCAATTCTACACTTTACTACGGAGGATGATGTTGCAGTTCTATCGGGATAGAGTGAGTACCTCCTTTCAAAAAATTATCATGAAAAATTATAATGTTTATATATACCAAAAATAAAATTAAATAAATAAATAAATTGTTATAACCTGATAATTAACAATTTAAACAATATATATTCATACATAAATATGAAGGTATTGTCCTAGATTTTTTTTATCAAATACGTATTTTTGTATATGCCCTTGAAAAACCAAATCCACAAAAAATTATAATTTTTCATGATAATTTTTTGTGAGTTTAGTTTTTCAAGGGCATATACAAAAATATATATCTGATAAAAAAAAATTAGGACAATACATTCATATTTATGTATGAATATATTGTTTAAGTCGTTAATTAACAGTTTATAAAAAATTATTTTAGTATATATACTATTATTATGTTGAAATAATAATTTTAGATAGAAAATTAATGAATTTAGTGTAATTCTTCCCCTTTCACTTTCAGAATTACGTTTTCTTGAAAATCTCTCTGCACATCTTCCTAGGCTTTGTGATAGGTGGATTATTCCTGGGAATTGGCAATGACGGGTCAAAAACCCTCTTCAACTTCGGTTTCTGTTTCGCCAGTCTCATTGTTTTTCTGTTCATTCCGATGTTACCGGTTTTGTTACATTGTAAGTACTGAGAACTGACTGCTGAGTAATGAACGATAATTGCGGCTTTTATCTGCATTATTTTCTCTGCAGTTCAAATGAGATTTCACCGTTATTTATTATCGACATTGTAACAATTATTATAATGAGAATATCAAAGGAATTGTTTCTCTAGAAAAATCATTTGATGAATTACTCTACAGTTATTTACGTCAAGTCATTTACGATTATTGAATTGATTGAACTATTTATGAACTTTTCAGTTCCCCTCGAGGTACAGCTGGTGAAACGGGAACATTTTAACAGATGGTACAAAATAAGTCCGTACTTCTGTGCACTAACAATATCTACGATTCCAGTACAGGTTGGTCCATGGTAATTTGCAATTACAAATTACTGAATTCTATATTAATAATAAAAAAATCGAGTATTATAAATTTATGCCGAATTTATCTCAATGCTAAAATACTAAAAACGATAAATTCTCCGTCTCCCAAATAGCAATTGCTCTCAAAAATCAAATACAACTATTTCACTACTTATAAATAAAACCATTGATTATCGATAAATAAACAAATGTCCAGATAGTTCTCGCGCTGATTTATCTCTCGATGGTGTATTTTTTCGTGGGACAACCACTGGAGCTCTTCAGGATATCAATGTTCTTCAGCACTTGCATAATGTGTGTCTTCATAGCTGAGAGTCTGGGTCTAGCCATAGGCAGCACCCTGAGCATCGTGGTAAGTTCCATAAAACTCCATAATTGCCGAGAGATAGTAAAAAATAAATTGTGGTATCTATTTCAGAATGGAATGTTCGTTGGGCCTGTGATCTCAGTACCTCTGATGCTGCTGGCAGTTCAGGGAATAGGGGAGCAAGAACCACTTCCATTTTATCGCCTACTCCCCATGTACTTGAGTTACATAAGGTACGGTCTGGAAGCACTATGTGTTGCTGTCTTTGGATATGGTAGAAAAACTCTACCTTGTCCTGAGATCTATTGTCAGTACAGCATTCCCAGGGAAATGCTCCGGACAATGGGAATGGCTGAGTCCGGATTTTGGAGCAATTTTCTCGCTCTCGTCATCATCCTCGTCGTCTTCAGGGCAATCACTTATTATTTACTGAGACAACGACTGCAGCCCAACAAAACATTTCAAGCTTTGCATCTCATTGGAAGACTCGTCAAGAGTCATCTGAGCATGGAGTAATTAAAAACCGTTACCCGAATTTCGTTGATGTTTTTCATTTATGAAAGCTTGTACAGTCGTAATTAACGATTTTTCGTCATTTTAATACGCACAATCTGAGGATGTTTATATAGTTGCTCTGTGGATGAGTGCAGTTATCCAGAAAGTTAATTAAGAATAATGAAATCGTACATTCTGTCATTGATGTTTGCACTGTTTTTTTTTTAACTGTCGATCGTCAGACACGGATGGAAGTCGTGGATGAATAAATCATGCTGATAAGAATTTTTATGGGTGATTGAATGTACAAGACAATTTTCCCTAATTCTGTCTTTTAACAACACGCGTTATCGTAATTATTGATAAACACAAATAGAAAAATAGAAAGGTCTGCTGAAATTCCAGACGTAATTAATTGGAATAGAGTCAAATTCTTGAATTTCCTGTTTAAAAATTTTTCTCAAAAAGCTTTCATCGAGGTTTAAACGAGCTCACTGGGAAAAATCATACTTTTTCGTAGAAGAAAAGAATTTTCACTATAAAATTTGATTTTCCTTCCTGCAAATTCCGCACATTTATTAACGGATACCTTTAATTTCAAGAAGCATTGTCCATTTTCCATGAAAATCGATAGTCTATGCAACGAGTTGTACTCTTTGTTTATTCCTATGTAATACGATACTCAGTGGCGTCACCTATTCGCCACTTTTCTGATAACACTTATCTCTTCCTCGTACAATTAAAAAATTTGCCGATAATCATCATTAGAAGAGCACGTGCAATTGATTTCGATAGGACTCGTTCGACATTTCGATAATGAATTTCGAATGGTCCACTGATGCATTTAGCAAAATCCAACGAGATCAATCACGACAAGATTTACCTGTGACGACACAAAGCCTTCAGGTACCACCAGCTGATTTCTTGGAAGGCCACTTGGCGGTATGGTGGGGGGTGTTTCATTGGAAATAGTACAAAGTAAGAACTCTCTCAACGACTAGCGTCAGTGGCCGTCAGCTTTGCACCAGCTGCTGTACGTCAATGAAACAAAAATTATAGTAATTGTTGAAAAAAAATTGGAGAGAAATTCAAGAAGCCATGCGGACCTGGGGAAAGTGGTTTGTTGTGCTGCTGGTGATGCTGATCGGTTCTGCCCAGACGTAAGATATTTTTTCTCTTGATGAATCGTAATTGCTCAGAATTGCAGTTTCCACTCATGGCCAGAGAACGGAGCAGTTGTTTGTGCAGTATTTTTCCAATTTTTGTTATTCAGAAATTGCAGAAGGCCTGGACGCTTGTTTTTTTACGATTATTTAAAGTACGATAAGTTGGTCGTGACTCGGAGATGAATTCTCCATTTTTTCATCATTTGTAATCTATTGTTTCATTAATTAATTTGTTTAATTGAATTGTTTCAGTGATTAATTGTCCCAGAGTGAATTTATTCGAGAATTTTTTCAATGATTAATTGATGAATTAATATTTTTGCATTGATAAATGATTTGTCTGTGCAGGAATGCAAGAAGGAGAAAAAATCCACGAAATCGTCGTGTAAACGCCACTAAAAATTCCACAGCCTTCGACGTCCTGATTTTCACGCAGCACTGGCCCCAGACAGTGTGCTATACCTGGAAACAGGAATCCCCAGATCACAGCTGTGATTTGCCGCATGACGACGAGTGGACAATCCACGGACTGTGGCCAACAAAATTCCACAAACTTGGGCCCCAATTTTGCAATCCATCTCTACATTTCAATGTGGCAGCCCTGTCCCCGATCCAGAAGGAAATGGAGGTAAAGTGGATTGATGTTGAAAATGGTACAAAGCCCTTTTCATTCTGGAAACACGAGTGGCAGAAGCATGGCACCTGCTCAGCTGTCCTTGAGCCCCTGAACACTGAACTCAAGTATTTCGAGATGGGACTGAAACTCCTGGATGTTTACGACATGAAACATGTCCTTGAAAAGGCCGACATCCACCCTGGACTGTCCTACCCGGTTCAAGCCTTTCTCGATGGAGTTTACAAAGTTCTGGGGAAGAAGTGTCAAGTGGAATGCGTCTCCAATAAAGTAATTCCTCAATTTATCAATTACCTTCAAATTACTTCAGTCACTGGATTAAATTCCGATTGATTATAAACTTCCATCGAAAGATTGTTTAATTATCAAAAATTCTGCTTTCAGAAGGAGAAGAAGTCTTACCTCTTCGAAATTAGGATTTGCTTCGATAAGTCATTGAATTTAATTGACTGCGATGGCGTCGCGGGATTTCCGACGAATTGCTCCCCGAAGAGGCAAATCCTGTATCCTGGGACTGTCCCAATAGAATATCATGTATTACAAATTTAATTCATCCATTTAGTTTGAATTTTAAAACGAAAGTAAAAAGTCATATCAATTAATGTACAGCGAAATTGCGCTGTAAGACTCTCCGGAACCAGCGGGTGATAAATTTGTTGAAAAAATTTTCTTTTGCCCGCTTGTTCCTGAGATACTTCTAAAGTTGCTGAATAGTCAATTTAATCATGGAAATCATATCGAAGAATCTCATCTGCTATTTTTTTATGAATTTATAAAGTTGTAATTATTTTTGAATGAAATATTTTTTGTACAATTTTTGATGCACTCTGATATTTAATATTTTATGTACCAATTCATGAAGAATGGTAATCAATCATGGTATTAATTATATAATTTGTTCTTGAAAAAATAAAATGTGTGAACAAAGTGATCAAATAATTCAATGTGTTTCGGCGAGAATTAAACACACAACCGATGGAGAATCGGATTTCGCGAAAGGGTAGAAAAAGTCACGTTAATTAATTAATTTCTAATAAAACACACGCGTGGTAGAGTCACATCAATTGTTTTATATTTCGCAAAAAAATATAATAATGCCGTCAAAAATATTGGCATGTAAATTCGTGAGAATATTTTGTCTAAATAGAGAAATTTCACGCTACACGGAGAGAAAAATACCGGAAAAATTACGGAACTTTCGCGTATTCGTGGGGTGACCTTGCTTTCCGGGAAAAAGTACTGGAGGTACCGTAAAATTGTCCTGAAAGTTTCGTAAAAATTCCTGCTCGCTACGAAAATTTTTACGGAACTTACAATATTTTTTCCCGAAAACCAAGGTCACCCCACGAATACGAGAAAGTTCCGTAATTTTTCCGGTATTTTTCTTTCCGTGTAGAGATGTTTCCAGAAAAAGTCGATCTAATTTAATTTTCCGGAAAGAAAAATACGCCACACGCCGTTCACCGATAAACCGAGAGAAGAGGGAGGAAAAGACGTAGAAACGACAAGTAGAGCAACAGGTGAGAGATTAGCATAATAATTGGGTCACGGAGGTGCTGCTACCGCCCTGCCCTGTCCATGGTTTAATGACGCCGTTGCCTCAACACAATGTCATCTTGAAAATAAAGAAATTAAACAAATCGCACTGCAATTTTCATTCTTCTCTCATTTATCTCCCCCTTCCCTCTTCCCCTATTCCCCTCTTGCCGTCTTCCTCTTTATATTCCAATCCTCGCAATTGCTTAAAATTAATGTACTGTAATCCAATACAACTTCATGAAAAATATTGGCCAACAAAATTCCGGATGAAGCAATCACTCTTTATCGAAAAATCAGATAACATGATTGATAACAGGTGAAAGCACTTGAAACATCAACTGATAATGGAACGATTGGAGGATAAAAGGAAATGAAATTTCGGGAGCTGTTATAGTTTTTGAACTTTCATCGCGGAGTAAGGCATTTCCTTTTCCAAATCAATTTAGACATGGAAATCAATTTAATCTCGGCGAATCAATTGAGATTCTTGTATTTCGGACTTCTAATTGTCACCGTGCAAACGTAAAGTTTTTAATTCTGTTTCTCCCATATTCAAAATTATTCTACCAGTATCTAATCTAGGATATTCCATGCAATTGCAATTCTTTTGGTGTAATCTACAATATTCTTGTAGAATTTTCACAAAAAGAACTGCAACATGAAGATTAATTTCGTTGTAATTATTTTCTTGCAAATTTCGTAGATATCCCGGGATTCCCAATGTTCCTGAGTTTTTAGAACTACCTGAGATCATAGGTCTCACAACAGAAAAGGAATTCGACATTTTAATATTGACCCAGCAGTGGCCCCAGACGATATGCTCCACGTTCGAGAGTGCGAAGCCTTGCAAACTGCCTCCTGACAATAGGTGGACAATCCACGGACTCTGGCCAACGAAATTGCACACAAAAGAACCAGCGTTTTGCGACAATGGCGCGAAATTCAACCACGCGGCTATAGCATCAATTGAAAAGGAGTTGAATGAGAAATGGCCATCGTTGAATAATAAAAAATCGTCGAGGGACTTCTGGACTCATGAGTGGAAAAAGCACGGGACATGCTCCACGATGCTGAAACCGGTCAACACCCAGGAAAACTATTTCAGGAAGACGTTGCAGCTCAGGGACAAGTTCTATGTGAAGAGCATCCTAGATAAGCTGAAAATTCTGCCAGGAAAATCATATCCAGTTAAAAAAATCGTCGATGGAATCAATCAAGCACTTGGAAAACGTTGTGTTGTCAGTTTAGTTTGTAATTCGGTAAGTAATCAAATTTTTTTAGATAAATACATAAAAAATAACTTTTGTATAGATTTATGTAGATTGGGATTAATTAATTGATTATCACATGATTAGAGCATGAATTTCATGAACAATTGGAGGTTTTAATGTTTAAGTCCGTCTCAAGTTTTTATAGCAGTTTCTATCTTATTTATAATTAATTTTGTCTTTTAGGCGAAGAAGCTATCGTACCTCTCGGAAATTCAGATTTGCTTCGATAAATCGTTTAACTTGATCGACTGCCAGGGGAGTATTCAATATCCCAAGAAGTGTCCACGAACGCATGATATTATCTATCCGGACAGTCCACCGGCCGTCTATTTGGATGGATTAGACGAAATTGAGCAATCAACGAATTATTAAACACGTTGAACTATTTCTAATGTAGAATAATTGTGTGAAGCCCTTCTGCAGGGATGAGACAAGAAGAAATAAAATAAAAATAAAAATCTCTGCTGTGTTGCCCGAATTTTTCGAAGAACTCCATCTATATAAATAGAAGATTAAATTAGGAGCTCAAGAATTTAACAATCGTTGCTGTTTTCTATATTGAAGCGATCAGTGATAATACTGGAATTCATGTCAAATCATTCGGTATCGGATATTCATCGATAATAAACTGTAACGATTTGTTTTTGAAACTTCTCTGCAAGTACCCCAATTGGCTATGAACAAACTAAACGAGAGATGATCTCACCGATTAGATTAAATTACAGTCCACTGAACTTGTGTTTGCGATTCCCTTTGTACAGCCTTTAGTTGATATTTTTCCATCATGGGAATCATCCAGAAATTGCGAATTCTCGCGATGTTGGGAATTCTCGGAGAAGTCCACGGGTACAAATCTTTGTTTTTTTCTTAATTGAGTCATTATACTATAATATTCCAATTAATTAACGAATTAATTGTTGATTTATGCATTATTATTAATTATTGATTAATTCACCAGTTGAATCGCTAATGATATTGCAAAAATAAATCAATAACACAATAATAATTTGGATTGCACAATAAGACAGAAACTTTAAAAAATTTCCGACAGAAATCTAGAGTGGACTGAAGATAGTAAAGACTCGATTTATTTCGACCACTTCGTGTTCTCTCAGTTATGGCCAACGACTCTCTGTTTACCGTTGGACAATGGAACAACTGGTGGGTGCAATCAGACAATCAGAGACCAGTGGATGATCCATGGTCTCTGGCCAGGAAAATTTCACACGTTGGATGTGCAATATTGCGATAACACCTCCATCTTCGATCCTACATCGATCGATTCAATAAGAGAAGAAATGAAGATTAAGTGGCTAGAGTGGATGCCGGCAAATGATCATGATGAGGTCCTAGCACTATGGAAACACGAGTGGGAAAAGCACGGAACTTGCTCGACTTCACTCGAAATTTTAAACACCCAGACGAAATATTTCGAGAAAGGCTTGCAACTTTATGATAATCATAACATGAATAAGATTCTGGCCAGGGCGAATATTCTGCCAGGAAATCAATATTCCATTGAAGATCTTCTGGCGAGAGTCGGTGGAGTCCTGGGGAAGCGGTTAATACTGCATTGCAGTGTAAGACCGGTAATTAAGCATTTTCCCTTCTTTGTTTAGAAAAAGTTTGACTAATTCTAAATAATTAATAGATAAGACCCGGAGATATTATAAATTGTGATAGATTCGTTCGAAAAAACGGAAAAATGTGCTTCGGGAAATGCCTAAGTCTGCTTTTTAATCAAAACAAGTAATTCCATCGTTCTTGTTTCGAAATTTTTGGGACTGAGGAAAATTGAAAGAAATACTATTGAAACAGTTGGGAAATTTCGGTAAACTCTGCCTTTTTTTTCAGGGAAGCAATACGTCGTATCTCGAAGAGATTTGGATATGCTTTGATAAATCAATGAATTTAATTCACTGCGACGATGTTTACAACTTCCCTACTGATTGTCCCCGGGAGAGGGAGATTTTGTACCCCGAGTATCCACGAAATGACTACAATATCCGAAGTATTTAATTTTATTTCAAGAGATGAGTGAGAAAATATGTAGAAAATACTTCTAGCTTCAGAGAACAATTTGTAAGTCCTCGAATTTCCAGAAAATTCATCTTTCGTCTGTCGATTTAATACAAAATATCTCGTCTCGCAGATATTTTTCGCATCGCTCGATGATTTTTTGAGAAAACTCTCTGAGATAGCTCGAAGGATAGAGTTTATATTTCACCGAGTTCAGTTTAATCCCATAAGATATCGCATTTTCAATGCCGACACATTTACATTAATAGTATCAATAAAAATGTCTTAATTAAGAAATTATTTTCATATTTATAACCTGTGGAGAAGTGTTGTCTCTGTCATCAGTTCATCTCCTTCATCATTCTACGTTTTTTTGTACAATTACGACAGCTGATGGTACCAGACCTGTAACAAAAAATATTCCCATTGATTTTGAATTCCATACAATTTCCATACAATTAATTTTTTCAAGAATTTATGTAAACCACACAATTAAAAGAATTACGCATTCAAAATCCCATAATTCAATAAATTTATGACAACAACAATTACCAAGAACATCCAGAGGCGCATCGTAATCGTCAGTCTGGAACACTTTTCTGGGAAAACTAGTCATGAGATTGAACGGCCCTGGCGGATCTGTCCTGTGCATTTCCACGTACAAACGAACAGCTGACAGTTGCTCCTTGGAGCCAAAACTCTGAGTCAGTGTTTCTCCATTCGTCAAACGTATCTGCAACAGAAATAGAGAAAAAAAACATTGAAAAACCATCGACAATCAAGGAAACAATTGAATAAAGAATTTCTTTTTTTTTTCTTATCTCAATTCACCTGAATTTTTGTTTGATTGTAATCCCGTTTGGGTGCAGGGGCCACCGAAGTGGGAGTTGTGGGACTCGTGGCAGAGACAGCTGGTTGTCCACTTTCTTCTGCTTGTTTAGCTCGTCTTGCAGCTTTATCCGCCTCAATTTGCTCTCGAATTTTTTGACGAGCAATTCTGTCCTCTTCTTTTTCTCGCTTCCGTTGCTCCAGGAGCTTTTTCATTTCTAATTCCTCCAGTCTGCGAACAGGAAGAAATAGAAAGAAATAAAGGTAGAGGATACAAATGATTCAATGGGAGAATTACTTTGTAATCGAAATTATTTGATAATTTGTCATAATCAATTTTGTTTAATCCAGAGGTATTTTTCAGACAGTCTAATTATAATTACCTGCGCCTGGCCTCAGCAATCTCTTTCCCAGATTTTATCCTGAATTTCTCTCGTTCGTAAGCCTCTTGCTTCTCATTCTCCTCGCGCTCCTTCCTCTTCTGTTTCATTCTCTCTTCCAAAAGTCTAAGTTTCTCCTTCTTCTCTTCATCAGTCAGAGGTTTTTTCTCCTCTAGACTCTCTGAAAAACTATCGTGACCGGATTTCGTGGCGTGGAACTCAACCTCCAGAGAGGATTTGAATAATTTCCCACATCTGGAATCATACATTAAAAATTGCGTATAAAAATAAAAGAGAGTAGGTTGACAATCAATTTACATAATTAAATTGAATTACTTACACATCGCATTTGAGTGATTTAGCCTCTGTTGCAGATTCCTCAGTTGCTTCAGAGGATTTCGCCTCTTCCGGAGGTGCACTTCCTGAGGCCTGAACCTCTAGTGACTCAGCACTAGGTTCACCATCGTCAGAATGTGCGAGTAACCTAAACAGAAAATTTCCCTCTATCAAATTCGGAGGAAAAATTCCACGAATTGTGGAAAACCATAGGGTTGCGACTGCAGGTAAAATTCAAATAGTCGCTTGAAATAATTATCTTTATTTGGTTTTTTGGGAAAGACTTTTCATTTTCAGTTGAATTATGACTAACCACTCCATCGCAGGCTCCACTCCCTTGTTTCCAGTCATCTGGAGAGCTTTTTCCCTGGAAAAACATCAGAAATTACGAAAATATATTCCCGGCTGAGCGTTAGGGTTAAGTTATTGTTTTGATCAGTGATCAGAGGACTTACGCCTTGGACAACGTGAATCCCATGTCCACGAGCATCGCAACATCTGCTGAAGGCATCTCTAATTATTGTGCGACAATACAAAATTTTTTTTAACGAATGAACACAATTTTCTCTGGATGAGAGGTGATATGATGACTCCTTGTGGCAACCGACATTTATCGAATAAAATCGATCTTTTTCATTCGGTGGATTCAACTCGATTAATTGATTCTCAAGATGCTCCTGGCGCGGAAATAAAAACTTAGATAGTATCTTTAAAAATTAAATGAAGAATATCTATTGTTGTTGATTGATAGAATTAATTAACAAAGTGTATAATCGAAAAAACGTGAATCTCAAATTTTGTGAAGAGATATCGATGTGATACAAATATCGATACAAAGAGATGTCGAGTGTGGTATCGATTGTTCGTAATTACAAATTTTGGTTGTTCAGTTATGGCGGCCGGACCAATTGCCGAACGGAATCAAGGTAAATTAATGATTTATTTAGAGTTTATGAATGGAACAATATTCATTTCTTCGTCTTTGGCATAATCGATTTACGTTTATCATGTATTCAATTGAATTTCACATATCTTTTATGTTCTCCTTTCGGGAAGTTGTCAAATGCATTTTTTATAGGTTATACCAAACGTTTTGATGATATCGATATAGTCTGACTCATGGATTTGTAAATAATTTTATTACTTTTATATAGATGCGACGATTTATGTTGGAGGCCTCGATGATAAAGTCACCGAGTCCCTCATGTGGGAATTGTTCGTCCAATCAGGACCAGTGGGTAATGTAAAATTGTCAATTGACAAATTGCTATCTCTCAATTAATCTACATCTCAGAATAAAGATGACCAGAAGACGAAATCCTGTCAAAAGTAATATAAAACTTATGAGAATTTTAACCTCATTCTCTAGTGAATGTCCACATGCCCAAGGACCGAGTCACCCAGATGCACCAGGGGTATGGATTCGTAGAGTTTATGGGTGAAGAGGACGCTGACTACGCCATAAAAATCATGAACATGATCAAACTGTACGGGAAGCCAATCAGAGTGAATAAAGCCAGTGCTCACCAGAAGAATCTGGATGTCGGCGCTAATATTTTTATCGGTAATCTGGACCCTGAGGTGGACGAGAAGCTGTTATACGACACATTCAGTGCTTTTGGAGTGATTCTGCAAACACCCAAGGTAAATAAAAATAGATAATCCATGAAAATCGTGTACGTGATTGAATGAATTTGTCAAAAATCTCATTGACCTCCAGATAATGCGAGACCCAGAGACCGGAAACTCGAAAGGCTTTGCCTTCATTAATTTCGCCTCATTCGACGCCTCGGACGCCTCCATCGAGGCAATGAATGGTCAGTACCTGTGCAACCGTCCAATATCAGTGTCGTACGCGTTTAAGCGTGATGCCAAAGGTGAACGTCACGGCAGTGCAGCTGAGCGTCTCCTGGCAGCGCAGAATCCGTTGAGCCAGGCAGACAGGCCCCACCAGCTGTTTGCAGATGCTCCCCCCATGAGTATGCCAGCTCCGGGTATTCCCCAGCCCCAGCATCATCATCCACCTCACCAGATGATGCATCATGGTATGGTGGTACCACCACCTCCACCACCAGCAACTCCAATGCCCATGGGACATCCGCCACCACCACCTGTACCACCTCCACCATCTGGATTCAATCCCTCGAATATTCCACCACCACCCCTGCCACCCATGTCCATGTCACATCCACCACTGCCACCTGGAATGCCGCCACCACTGCCACCAATGCCAATACCATCGTCACAGGCACAGGGACATCGAATGATGGCACCACCTGGTGCTCACTGGCCACCACCTGGACAATTTCCACCACCTCCACCACCATCTGGACCACCGGGACAATTTGGGTATCAGCCTGCTCCACCACCACCCAGACCTCCACCAAACTGGAGACATCCGATGCCACCTGTATCACAGGGCAGTGGAGCACCACCTCCTCCACCTCAATTCAGACCTCCCTTCCCTAGAGGACCACCACCACCTCCACCACCACATGATAATGGGGGATATTGAAATTATTAATTGATCGTCGAGAAATCCCAGAGAGAGAAAGAGACCAAAACAATTCATCTTGAGTCTTTCGAAAATATCTACGAAACTCTGAGGGATAACATTATTTTTGCCAGATTCTTTTTTGTAAAGAAAATCCAGGAATATGCAAGTGGTAATTACGGAAATATTCGTATCTTTCAAAATGTCGGAGATATTTCCGAAAAACCCAGGGAAGAATGGAAAGTTGGGTTCATGTATTTCATTTTATCAATCCATTACAGAAATTATTTTTGCGGGATTTTCTCAGTGTATTTTGTGTTACGGTGTGTTTAAAGCAAATGTGAATTTTCAATAAAATGGATTTTGTATTTACTTCTGAATTCTCTACTCTGGATTAAACACGACTCAAGAATTCGTATCAATTACCTCTCGCCGGTTTTAGTTTCTTCTTGGAAAGAGTTGTTTACTCACAATTCTAAGTTACCTAGGGTTCTGGTAATGTACCATCCACCGCATGTAGAGACATTGCGCACAAGAATTAATTTCAAATTCATAGCGCGATACAGATTTTATTTAAAATTATATTTTCCACACAGTTCTATAAAAACAATTATTTCTTCTAAAAAAAAGTGCTTCGTAAAAATAAACATATCGCTTTTCTTACTGCGCCCCCTCCCCCTCCCCTTCCCCCAGAAAAAATTGAAAAGAAAATTCACAAGATTTCCTAGTGCCATAAATGTCTGGGATTCCCCGAAATATTTCGCTTAAACGGATACTGCGAATTTCGTAGACCGCGTGATAAAAAAAAAGTTATAAAAACTTCTTCGACTTCAACCCCTACAATTGCTTATGTCCTCAGAAAAAATTATTGATAGCCCGCTAATACCGAACTATCATCACCCTTGAATTCTTCATACCCGACTACAACCCCTCGTGAATATTTCATCGGTATCAGCACCGAGTGGTCACTTGTGGTCTAGCAATATCGATTCTTACTTTGTCGTGCGTGATTAGATGCCAGCTACTAGTACAAATCGATTTTTCAAAGCCGGTCGTCATGCCAGTGCCAGTAGTTACTCTGCCAAAGTCACCAACAATTTCCTTCAGGTAAAATTAAACTCCAAGCCGTACAATTGCTCGTAATCTAAATCTAATCTCAATTACACATGATAATAAAAAAAATCGGTAATCCCTCTACCACCTTCATTGAAGAATCTCCAAAAAACATTTCGATTGCAATTAAAAATAAAAATCCACTGGCAACGAAAAATCTCAAGTTTCTTCAAATCGATCATTAGTTCTTCCCTTTTGACTTGAGCGATTTTACCTGTTAGCTACCGAATAAATTCCATTTGAAAATCAAAATGTACAAAATAAAAATCCCATCTAGTGATTAAAGCTTCCTCGATCTACAGATCCCCCGATAAGTGAGAACATGAATAATTAGATGTTGCAGAGGGTTAGTGATTAATTGGCAAGGAGTGGAAACCAACGAACCGTAAAATAATAAAGATTCACGTTTCAAGATAGAGTGAGCATCTTGCCCTGAAGAAGAAGTGAGGAAGTTCAACATTGGCTGAGTGCCAGAGGAAAAGAAAAAAATAGTTGTATGCCGGATAGCATGCAAACTCATGGGAATGGCGCGATTCGCTTACGAATGCAGTGTCGATACCAAGGGGAATAATACGAGTGAAGGACCAGGAACAATAAAGCCTGTACCATGTCATAGTAATAATATTTGTCTGTACTGCTGTTGTGAGCCACAGTGCTGCTTCCTCATACAGCGAAACACACCCAAGCACTTCTGGGAGGCTTGGTACTTCTGGCTCGGTGTTGCTCTTCTGATTCTCTTCATTATTTCCTCCGTAAGACTTTTCTCCGAAAATGAAATTTTTAATGAAAATCGCAACTCAGGTAGAGATAACTCAACATTGAATTCGGTAGCTCAAGAGAGGATGTTGTACCCTCTAAAATTCCCCCAAGACTAATCCATAATGCCATAATCTAACGTAATCATTCTCTCGAGAGAAGTCGCGTCAACTGGTGTTAAACCAAAACTGCAACTCAGGCAGAGATGCAAAAACTCAAGATTGAATTCGATGGTTGAAAAGAAATAATATCAGGGCCTTCACCAGGTGATACCTCCTAAATGAAGGTAGATACTGAAATTTTGGTGGATACCTTTTTTGCAGAGCGATTTGTAAACTGTAAAAAAGGTCTATACAAAGATTTCGCTATCTCTGTTAATTTATGGGATATTCCTGGATTAATGACAGCCAAACACAATGAACTTTTTAATTTGTAAGATTTAGTGATTAATGATTGAAATTGTACAATCAGGTGGCCAGTTACATCATTAGCAATTGTCGCCACAATCTGCGGACATTAACAGGTCATCCAGCATCGACAAATTCAGGCCCCAGGGGAAATCCCACAAACGAAATTTCGATTCACGTGATACCAACAACTGGTGCACTTCCGTCCCACCGTAAACTCTTGTTATGCGCGCCAGATTCCAGTGCTTCGTCGATGAGTAAGTGCCGCCATCATTACCATAAAAATTATTTTAAAAAAATATAAAAAAACCGATCGTAATCACAATGTAACCAATTTTTATCGATCATTAACTCGTTCTCTTGTGCATTCCAGCTCCAGTCGTTGCCTGAACATCACGACACCCTGACACTTCTTGCTTCCTTCAGTATTCCTCATTTTTAAATAAAATATTAAAATGAGGGAGTGATTATGTCTGGGATAGAGAGAGGACCAATTGAGTATAACGACAACCCGTTAATACCCAGCGGTTATGACAAGAGTTGCAATAAAGGCGCAATAACTCGGTACAGGCTTGCGATAACGAGTCATCTCTATCTGTCGTATAAAGTCCGTTGACTAGATTCCCCTGGAGATTCTAGTTTTTTTTTCCACCCCTTTTTTAATCCAATCATTCCCACAAAGTCATACAAATAATTCGGTCACAATTCATCTGGTAATCATTACTAATTTAACATTTTCCACTAGTTTTCGTTTAATTATTTGCTCGACTCTGACTGGACTCGAGTTCTTCTCCACTGATTATTATTTTTTATTTTTCTCTTCGCAAAGCCTCTTGAAACTCGTTTTCTCCCGGAGGATCCAGATGGGCGTAACTCCCATTAACAATTAAGAAGACATGCCCGAGGGGGACCCGAGGCATTGCTTTGCGGAAGATCTTCTCCTTCTTCTTTCGCATGAAGAATCCACCAGAGAGTGCAGTAATGCCGAGGGGGTAATTTAAGGGAAGATAATCACACGAAATGTCTTCTTTTATTTGTTTATTTTTCTCTGTTGTTTTTTGGGGAGACGCTTGACGCATTCGATGGGTTTGTCTCACGGTTTTCCTGGGGCTCCATTGATTTCGGGGTTTCACTATTTTTTATTAACAATATAAACAAGTATTTGTCTACATTGTTTAGAATACAAATTTATTTATTCGAATCATAAACTCTGAAGTAGAAAATATGAATGAATAAATAAATTTCCGGGTGCATGTCCCCAAAGTCTTGAAGTCGATTGAATGAACAATTTTTTTGTCAAAGCAACTGTTGAATTAACGCACAATAAAGTGAATATGTACATATAAATCGTTGAACCCTTTCTCTTTTTTGTTCTTGGTACAGTCGGTGAAGATAACCTTGGTGAGATAATCGCGAGAGGTTTACTCGGTATTCTCCGAAGACTCCTCTAATTAATGTGAACAAGCGTTGATTACTCTGCATTTGCTCTTTATTCTTTCATGCCCGATAATACATTAAAATATATAATGCCCCTCGGTCGTGGGGTGATTTTTTTTTATTACTTATTTTGTTAACAGTGAAATAAATTACATTGTACATGAAAAAGGCATTTGGGGGAAGAGCAATGAGAAATTGTTGTGCTCTCGGTACATGGTTCATTCGTCCCAGTAAACCAGGGTCATGAACTTTATCAACAAGTACTCGTTATCTGCATATGCGTAACGGTTTTATTCTCTCGTGTCTTGGGGATAATAAAATGGTACCATTGTTGGTGGAAATATATCAGTTTGCTATTGTTTTTTTTTTAATTTTTCTTTTTTTTTTGCGTGTGTCCTGGCGTGTGGACAAGCGTATAATCCCATTTACGAGTTTGTACGAGAGATCCGGATTGACACCCACGATTACTTCGAATGTATATCGGGATCAAGTCAGTGAGTCGTGACTTGAGTGCAGAATTTAGTGAACAGGAGATTGTGATATCGGTTTTTTTTTAGTCGGTTGTATTTATGAGAGGGTTCATTTTCTAGGATATCTTTTATTTGATTTCTCCATTTTATGGTGAAATTTTTTATGAATTTTCACTATTTACTCTTAACTTTTTCTGTTTACTAGGACTAACGCGCGCGTATTTTATGGTATGTATTAGTGGTGAAAAAAAAGCACCAATTTTTTGTTTAAACAAGTAATTAAACAATTTTTTTATGGCATGATACATCGAAAAAAAGGAATGCATGTTTCGACTGAGAAAATAATTTTTAATAGTTTCCAATTTTTTTCTAGTGCATAATATACAGTACACATTTAATTCCATCGAAATTTGATGTATATTTTTATTATTTATTTATTCGTATGCTTATTCTTACAGATATATACAGTATATGTAGTATATTATATATATTATATCATGGTATTTAATTTCTTTCAAAAAGTTATCATTTTATATGATACGGTATTTATTACGGTTCATTAAATAATTTTCAATAACAAAGATGTTAATTCATATATTTGGAGTTACGCTTGCAATCCGGTGGAATGTTACCGGTTTCGGTGTCTCATCCTCACATTCGCGATGGAAAAAGCACCTGTCTCATTACTCCATGTTAAAATAAAAAAAAAATCCACCTGACTGAAGGTACAGTTGTTCCGTATTTTTTTATGAAATTCAATTCTCGAGAGATTGTATCGGTTTATCTGGCAGACAGGGCCATGCGCATGCCCAATCGGTAGATCAAGATCGGGTATTCCCCGTTGGTCGGAGAGGACATGTTAGTCCCTTTAATTAGTTCACGATTCGATCACAAAGGGAACGAACCGATGTATAAACACGTATGAGTTTATGCGTATCTGCTGGTTAATTATCGGCATTTTGCAATACCGATTTAATCCTCCTGTCTGCATATCTGAAAAAAAAGGGTAAAAGAGGATAAAAAGGGCTTGCGTGTGTTGAAAAATGATTCACAAGTGACTTGTCAAGATCTTTGATTTTTCATTAAATTTCTTACTACATAAATTAATATATATATTAATTTAATTAACAATATAATGTATTCTACTAATCAAATCAATCAATCAATAGTATCATTAATTAAATTCATGAATTACTGATATAATTTATTAGAGTAATTAAAAATGTTCGCCCATGCGAGAAAAATGAAAAAAAAAATTTGTCTCCATAACTCCGGTTTTTGAAAAATCGACAGCCCCTCACCCAAAACCACCGGAAATAAAATCACAATTGTTCAGATTATATCGCACTCGACCTTTCTTGCTCCAGCCTTCAATGCAACCCATTGCAATCCTTTATTTTCCACTTCTCAACGTCTCTCAAAGGCTCGTAATAAACAGCATCGGGCGTGGGCTATTGGTGCACTGTGTACACACGGGATTTTATAATTAGCGTCTCGTTCCACGGAGATATGCGCGGGCGATCATGCCACTGGTCATCGGTGTATGTGCATGCGACGATAAATGTAACTGAGAAAACCAGAACTGTTTGTGTGTTGGGCGCAATGCAAATTCAAGTGGAACCGAGTGACGGCGCCGGGCAAATTAATTGCCTCGTACCGATCCTCGTGTGAAAGCCAAAGCAAATATAAGGGGGGGAGAGGGGTGGGGGAGGGTTTAATTTTTCCGCTCGTATTCCCCTGGAATTTTCAATTACGCGATGACATGAGAATATTTAGATCGCCCGATCTAGGTTAATTCGGCTATTTTATACCAATTGATTTCCCTATGGGAGAAATCTATAGTATTACACTTTTCAAAAATTTTCTTCAATGTTTTTTTAAATCTGTTTTGCACTTTCTAGTCATATAATGGATATATTATATCTATGGGAGGTGTAACGAGCGGCGTGTGAGCACCTAGGGGACTGGCCTGAGGCTTAAATGAATGGATATATTTTCTTTTCGAGCTTTTCCAATGTTTCCATTACCCTCCGGGAATTTTAAATTCACCTGTCGATCGGGGTCAGTGCATCGACAGATCGAAACACAATTGTTTTAATATTTTCAATCCGTTGTTTAGTAATTGAGGTTTTTCTTTCTTCTATTGATTTTCTTTCTCGTCGTCGGTTGGGGGAAACTAGTGGTTTCAATTTGGAATTAAGGATATCCCACCTTTAGGATTAATCTAAAAAAATATAACGTTTTTGCGTTTTGTTATTATTTAATGGCTCATGAATATTTGTGGGGGTGCAATCATTTTTATGGATTTTTTGTACCATTTTGTGATTCTTTTTAAAAGTTTAGAAAAGGCGCAGAAAAATATTCTCCACACCTTGAAATTTGGTGAGTTATTAAATAATGACAACAAAAAAAAACACTATATTTTATCACGTCAATCCCCGGCAAGTTGTCCATAAAAACGAGAAAACATTAATTTTGGCTGTATATTTTAAAAAATTGTGGGTGGGAAGAAATGTATTTGGCAGAATTTTTGTCTCGGTGTAATCGGTAAGTGAACTGGAGTTTCATAATTTTCATTGATAAAAAAAACTGTTGGCAAACGAAAATTTAATTGCAGGAATTTATATAAAACTGGACTTTGTCCACATTAATTTTTGTCCCCGGTACCACCATAATTTTCATTCCGTCGACGTAACGACGTAAAAGCCATCCGGAGCCGCCCTCTTATCAGCAAGCCCACCTCTGCCTTTTTCGTGCCGCTCACTCAAGATAGAACCCACGGTTATTTTTTAAAACACTAAAAAAAAAAATTCCATACCGTCTGCAACTGCCGCATCAATTCCACCTAAAAATCCGTCATTAAAACAATTCAAGTAACAATCAAGCATTAAACAAGCGGAAGTTCCAACGGACAAACTCTCGGCTGAAGTTCACCAGTAAAAAATTAGAATTGAATAGCAACAAAACAATTCGTTTAAATGGGTTTACAGTTTTTGACGATGCCATTTTTTGGGCCCTTTCATTGCCCACGTTCCGTCCGTACCCGGACCCTCTAATCTCGAGGGCTAAGTGGGTTTTCGAGTTCAAGAATGTCAGAACCCACCTTCTACTATCTTCCCCCGAGTTGTTTCGCCATCGTTTCCTATCTTCCACGAAATACACCAAAAATACTATCTTTTCAGAGGTTCGGTTTGTGTGCACTTTGATGACGCACTTTTTTTTTCGTCCCGAATATTCCGAACTCGTTGTTTTTTCTATTTATTTCACCGGGAGGCGAATTGAGAGGAGATAGCGATATCCGGAGGGACCACCGGTCCTCAGACGAATCATCGACATTAGTTACATCTCGCGACTATCTCTTTCTCACGCAGATAAGGCATTTTTCGAATTTTTTTATTATTTACTAGTATTTAATGACTAGTATTTAATGATCAGGGAGAATAACATGCAAAAAGTTTATTCAATAAATAAAATATTTGACAATAATGGATTTTTTAAATTTAAAACATAAAAACAAAATATTTTTATACAGATGTTATAATTATTTGAAAATTTATATAAAAAAAAAATTATGTATTTATCAAAATATATTTAGTTATTGCAATTGTTGTTATTATTATTATTATTATTATTATTATTATTATTATTATTATTATTATTATTATTATTATTATTATTATTATTATTATTATCATTGTTAGTCCCTATGCATAATTGATTAATTACTATAATTAATTAACATCAACTAGTCCTCGGTAATCAAAATTCAATGCAACAAATTAGCGGTAAAAATAAAATCATGCGAGTCATTTACAAATTTTTAATAATATTGCAATAAAAATAGTTATCCTTTTTTTTTGAAAATAATGCCTCCAGTGTAATTATTTTGAACGTTAATGGAATTCCAGGGAGTGTCACGGATTTGGCAAATTATCCGGTTCCATTCAGAGCCTATCGGAAATACAAGCGAATCCTTTTAGGCGTCATCTCGAGTCGTTCTCACGACTTTTTTATCTCAATTCTCCATTTTTTTCTTCTCAATTTTCTACCTCGAGACGTTTTTTTCTCATCGAGAGTTTGTTTTTGAATTTGCCCTGCCTCGGTGTAAATTCAACTTCCGTGGAAGGCCGAGTGTTTGAACTTCCCGGTGGACTAATTGTCAATATAACTACTTGAAACTAACAGATAACTACTTTATAATATTTATAACTACTTTAAACTAAAAGAAAAAGGGATTCTAACGAAGCACCTCCTCTCTGCACATCACCTCTGAATAATGACAATGAAAAAAAACCCTTTCTGCAACCCCGAGTTTGAAAAAAAGGTTCTCCTTGAGATAAATGTTTCAATAGTTGATTAAACAATTTCACCGAAAAACTGAATACACGGTGTGTAAATCACTCTCTGAAATGAAAAGCATGCTCTGCATGTATCAATGATTTATTTATAAAGCATCGGAAATAGCAATGGCTTCAGCGAATTTCATCTGCTTCCAAATATTTGCTCAATCTTCAAATTTTTTTTTTCAATTTCATGTTAAGCGCCACTTGAGTGAATCGTGTCTTTCTCACGCGCTCATGTCTGGTGCTTGATAATAAAACATTCTGGATTGTTGAAGAGGGTGACTCTTGAAAAATCACTCGAGTGTCCGAGGTTTAAATCCAACCACGCAAACTATCAAGCAAATATGAGTCATCGACGTTGAATTTCGATGACCACTTCAACCTCTCTAGACATGTTGAGTTAAAACTTTGTCATACTTCCGGAGGTCGCAATTACAGTTTTTTAATCCCATTAACAATATTTTCTGATTAATGACCTCTCGGTATTAAAAATCTAATTAAAATAACGGCCGAGAAAATTTTCGTTCTCATGAATGCCCAATAATTTTCCAGTTTCTTCTAGTCTTAAGTTTTATAAATTTTTCAAATGTTTAAAACAAATACAGGAAAATTATTATTATTATTATCATTATTATCATCATTATCATTATTATCATGATTATCATTATTATCATTAATAAAATAATAATAGTAAACTTTGTTCACTCAATTTTTTTCCATCCTTAAATAATACATTAATAATAATATATTATTTAACAATAATGCAATTGACCGAAAAAAGGGGGTTAAGTGAAGAATTGTGGATTAGTCGGGTAGCTCCGACAACTTTTGATTGACTTATTTAATTTCCGAGCAATTGGAAAGTGATGTTTGTTGACAAAAAGTATGTAGGTGTTGTCAAGGGGTAAAAATTGGAGAATGCAATTGAGTGAATAATTCGCTGAGTGGAAAATACGGTTTAGGCCATAAATTAAATTGCCCTCGCGTCTGGTTGGCTGCCAGGTGTTCGCATCCTCGATCAAACCGTCCACCGGCATTTACTTTGGGGTTTATATACGGGCACATGGGAATCAATCACCGCTCTTAAACGGACAATCGGGCTGTGTAGAAATGTGGAAGGGGAGAAAGGAGATGAAGAAGATGGAGAAGACCCACGGGGGCGCATTTCTCGGGTTCATTCTCTCATTCTCGAAACGTGTCATCCCAACGACTTCGTACATAATGGATAACGATCGGTTGCGATTTTTATCGGTTGGTCAATGGACAGGAATGAGTGGAATTAAATGAAGAAGTTGTTTTTTAGAAACATGCCTTGAGGTTTTCTTTAATTTCCAACGATTTCTGGGGTAATATGGAAAACATGAATTAGAGAGACTCCCCACCCTCGCCCATCGCACCCCTTGAATCGTTGATTAAAAACCGGGAAAAAATCCTTAATTAACCCACCCTACGGGGATGCGCAACTTTCATCATCATCCCCTGGAAATATCAATCCCCATTAATAGAAAAAATTGAAATAAAAAAAAATCTTTCGCACTTGAGAAAAACACTTCTCAACCAAAGAACGAATTTTCTGCCTGGCTAATCCATCAAGTCAAGCGGACCTTAAAAAATCGTAATAGCCGATCGAGTCATGAGCTAGAGAGACTCCCCACCCTTTCCGAACGCGCTCTCAAAACCGTCGATTAAACTAAAAAAAAATTCTAACGAAGCACCTCCCCTCTGCACATCACCTCTGAATAATGACAATGAAAAAAAACCCTTTCTGCAACCCCGAGTTTGAAAAAAAGGTTCTCCTAAAAACGGGACGACATTTCTAAATGAGCAATCCGACAGTCTGGATAAGAGGCTGACGGTCGGCGGCGGGTTTGCTACATACACAAACGGCATGAGACAAGCAACGACGAGTGGAAAGAGGGGTAAGAGGGGAAGGGTCTGAGTAAAGTTGCCAGATGCATATGTGCATGCACAACACATATACACAGATAACACATAGAAATAACTGGCGTCTGTGCCTCTAGGCGCCAGTGGCGTTTTCCCCTCTGTCTCACCGCCACCGCTCCTAATCAGGTGGTCTCGCTCTCCTTGTGTACACAGACAGGCGGATTCGAGACAGCCAAAGCATAGACCTACGAGAGCTCTCACACATTTACAAACACATTCAGAGACAAAAGCTTGAGGGCCAAGAGGTGGGGATCGGCGCGCCACTCAATTCGTAACATTTAAAAAGTATCAGTGAGCGTTCCTCCGTCGACCGGTGATGTGCACCACCTCTGGACAAGGATTTTTCCCATTTTACCGGGGATTCGTAATTCTTTAAACATCCCCACCAACCAGACAAATTAGACCACCATTATTTATTTGTACAACGGATTAACGGATCAGTTTTGTATTTCAACGGTGGAGCAGTTGTGATCAATCGGTATTGAATCGTCTCGGGGATATGCTCGTACGGACTATCGACTGTTGCTCTTGGTTTTATTGAAGATACAATATTTCTTTTTTTATTGATGCACCAGTTGGATCGGCCTGTTTCTGTAATTAGTTGAGTGAGTAACATGTGGCCGCAGGATTTTCTTGTCTTTGCCACCCTAACTACCATCACCAGGGCTGCATCCGTGGGTTTTGATCTGGGGGACTATGAGGTACTTGGTGATACTGAGGAGAGGACTGACAAGGATTATGGTGAGGTTATTCATTAATTAGTTGTGGGTATTTTTAAGTCGACGGGGGTACACACTCAGCAGAAAATTTCTTTTCCTAAATATATTTTCTTTGCATCAATAAATCCGGCAATCACTGTATAAATACTCCCATAATATTCACTAATGTCAAATACTTTTTCATATGGTTAGTATTATTATTATTATTGTTTATTCCATTGATGTTACAAATGTTCTCCTTTGTTTTACATCGGTATTCTCCCCTTTCCTCTTTCTTTTCGTTAGTATAAGATCAACCATCATATGGTTAGTAAATATTCTTAACAAACGATTTGTTTTTTATTGCTTCGGTGGATTACGGAATTGTTTTTGCAATGTGAAAAATTATGGGGATTGATTATCTGGTTTGGGGAAACTGATTAGATAATTGGGATTGAAAATATGAATGAGACATTTGAATGATTTGAGAATTGGAGTGTTTTTATTTCAGGGATTTAGGAGTCGATGAGAATCATGAAAATTTACCGTTCATTGATTCATCGATTTGTATTAGATTGTAGTTATAAATCCCTGCATTAAACCACAGCATATCTGTATATTCTTATCTTCATTTTCAACTAACTGCTAGTTGAATTAACTAAAACACAACAGTTTGTTGAAACTTGGTAAAACTTGAAAAGCTTTACATAACTTTAAGAAAAATGTGTAAATCTGTAATATCGTAGTCTTATAACGTTGCAACTAACTGAGTTCACCTACTTCTGCATTAAAGGAAACAGGAAATGGATCGAAATGTAAAAGCTCGAAAGGGTATACATGACCAAAATATATATATAAATCCCTGCATTCAGGCCATTGAGGGGTCAAGTTAAAGCGATAAACCTTGTTTCGCGCCGGCGCCGATACAAATGTTATACCTTTTTGTTAACGGAAAGATAAGGGAGTTAATAATATGCGGTGATGTTAAAAAAACACAGGGCACTTACGCTTCGTTGCCCTCACTCCCTGATTTCCGCTATCCCATATTTTACCCGATCTTTTGTAATTAATTTAGAGGCATTTCAGCTGATGGTCGAGCGTTTTTTTTTCTTCACGTCATTATGGGGAGAAACCAATCAGACAGGTGCTCCATTACGATAACTGTAATTGGAGCTCGGAAGGAAAAAATGTCGGGAGGATATGGGGGAAAAACTTCAAGTGTTGAACGCACGTGCGAGAAAATTTTTAGGGAAATTCAGGGGTTAAATAATGACTGAACGTCTTTCATCACTTTTTTAAATCACCCCAAAATTTTTCAATTCATCAATCAATAAAAATGAATTCTAATTGATCTCATTAATTAAGATTCATTAATTATCACAGTAAAAGTAATAACTACAGCCAATCAGTCGTTGTTTTTGTCAATTTTATAACTGATAAAAAAAATGGCTTCAAGAAATTGAAGTTGTTAATTTAATATCTGTGAAATTTAGTTTAATTCAATACTAGTTTGAGGGATTGAAATTGGATAAGGAATTGGAATTAATTTGATGCATTAAAAATTTTGAGCCAAAGTGGGTTTAAGTGTCGAAAAAATTGAATAAATTTGGGGAAAAATCAAGTGCATGGGGCACGTGCGCCAGAAGTACTGAATAATTCGCTCATTCGTGCGGTGGGAATTGCGATGCTTGCGCAATGGCCGTTGACCGAGACGGGCTGGTTACGAAGGGGGCGAAATAGCTAGTAGGCATTAATAACGCGATCGGTCACGTTCGCCAGGATTGCAACAAAGACGCGTCTATTCCCTACTATTTCGACAGTTTTTTCAGTTCTCCCCCTCCCCCTGAAATAATCCCCCTTGCCCCCCCTCCGCCCATTGGTACAGATGATTTGCGAGACTTTTCCCCTCCACCGGCAAATTTTCCACTCAGGAAATGATAAATATTGAAACTTGCCGGTAGTTTGGCGCCGTCTAGTCGCCCAGTAAAACGCCGGGTGTTATATATTTTTTTTTTCTTCGATATGCAACAGTAATGCTGGCCACGCGTTGTAGTGGACGGCGCGCGCAGGCCGCAGGGTAATGAGGGATTAATTCAGTCGTGAGGGCATCACGTTGAAAAACCATTCTGATATCTCTCGGGTTTGAAATGACGGATGTGAGATCATGACAGTCTAAGAATTGCGAAAATTGAGCGCGAATCCTTCAGAGACGGTTGTGAAATCGAAAATGAAGGATTGGGATGATTTTTATGATAAACTGGAGCTCGAATGAATCCACTGCAATTTTAGATCGGTTTCTTTAGGGTTTAACCATCGGGGCTGACGATTTTTAGAAAACCGGAGTTACGGAGACTTGGACGCTTTCGTTAGCGCCGAGAATGTGGGGTGTGGGCACACGGAATAATCTTCAAAATAGGTGAAAATATGTACATTTACATGTAACACCCGTTTCCCTCATCATTTTTCATTAAAATAGATTTATTATCTTGAATTCTCTCTTATTCCTTCAGGCAGGGGCTGTGCGTTCTCCTCTAGCGTGAATTGCAGAGACTGTACCTTCAAAAACAGCAATAATTAACAGCAAATTAACGTCAAATCATTAATGCTAACATTTTCCCTCTCTCGGGAGAAAAACTTGGCGTGTCTTGTGCTCGCGGATTGAGAGATTTCGAATTCTGTTGATATCTCTCGGTTCAATATGTTATTTATTAATAAAGCGCGATAAGCTATCGCATTTCGCGGAAGAAACTTCAGCTTTCGTCATAGTCTAGGAAAAGCAATTAAAATTAATTATGCCAGTAAAAGTGAACGGGAGGAGACAGAGGTGACTCAGTGCTCTGGGGTCGAGACGGACCCCAGTCGATAACCAGAGAAATTTAAAACTAAATCCACAACATTATCTACTCCTAATATTCCTCTATCAATCTCGACAATTCAAAGAAATCTTAATTGTCACTAGGAAATTTTTTAGCGGTCATTAGAGAGCATCTCCAAATGTTTGACCCATTTGCCCCCAAAATTGGCCCTCACGACCCACAAAACCCATCGCCCCATGAAAACGTCGAGGTCATGACCTCAGACCAGAAAATCAGAAAAAAAATTCCGTAAATTTTCTCATTATCCGCAAGATGTTTTTGCATGTTACTTGAAAGAGAAAGAGTGAGTGGATAAAAACGGTTGGAGGCAACAAAGAACAAAGCCATCAAGAGCTGTCGTAAAAAGAAGCGAAACGAAATAACGCGAGCGCCGACGTTTCGCCGGACGTAACGCTTACGAATGCGCACACATGAGAGAAAAATACATTTTTTTTTTCCCGATACTAACAGGGTTTGTAATGCAACGGGTGAAAGACGTAAGTGCCTTATGTACATTGAAAAACGAGGGGTGGCGCCTAGAGAGAGAAAGAAAGTGTAATATACAAACACAACTACTGGGTTTTCGTATTCATGCGTGCATGACGAGTCGCGTCGCAGTGCCGCCTCGTCTCTCCCTTTGGCGTTAGATCACAGACACCATTTGTCCACATTTTCGTACAATTCCTCGTCACACGAAAACCATTTTTCTTAATAATAGAAAAAAATTTAAAAGGAATATCGAAAAAAAATTACAAATGAAACTATAAAATGGAAAAACTGATTCTTACAGCCTAATTCAGCCTTTCCATTTCATATTTTTATTATTCTCATTTTTATATTTATATTTTATCGCCTACTGAAACTGCGGGGATTTATTACTCGGAAATGTTTTCCATGTTAGGAAAAATAGGGAAATATTGCGCGGAGAGGAAATTGTAATGCTGACTTGAGTCTGGGGCTGAGTTTGGGCCTTACTTTGTACATCTTTAGTCTCTGGTAAATATTTTCATTTAAATTACCTCCCGATTGTCTAGTCTAGACAGCAGACAAATGACGAAATTTTCCCACTCCAATGGTGGCTCCATGTGAAACGTAAATTGTTGTAACAAAGAGAGTGAATATATATTTTCGCAGAGACCAAGGATGTCTCGTCGGTGGCCAATTACACGAGTCCTGGCTCCAATTTTATCGGCGGGACGTCGGCATATCCGTTCACAAACGTACACAAAAGGGGGAAAATTTACCGCAAGTAGATGTATGGCGCCTGAAAATATTCATACGTGTTGGTAACTTCCGTGTGCCAACTGGCAACCATCTTCCTCTTTTACTGTATATTTGTCGGTTCGGTGGCCACACGTACGTGAAAATTCTCTCTCTGGTATGGGATATGTCGACCGAATAAAAACAATAGAACTTATAATTAAAATTTAAAAATTATCGATAAATATCACTACACAGCATAACATAAAATGAAAGTACTATTTATTAAATATTATTTAAAATTTTTTTTCTATCATTTATGCATAATAATAAAACGAATAATAATGAAAATAATAATAATAATAACAATACAAACAAGAAGAAGAATAATAAAAATTGAATAAGTTTTTGCGAGAAATGTGTGAGTTCTTGAGGAAAAATAATTCTGGACATTTGACAAGAATTTTCAGATGACAGATGACTAGTAATTTTCAAAAGATTGGCATTAAATTCGATTTTGGATGACGAAATCTTGAAATTATCAATTTAGCGTGATTTTCTTTTCCAACAAACAATCAAAATGATTTGACACATATCGTGGATGTAGACATACCATTATTCAATTTCCTATTTCAGATGTAAGACGGTTTCAGCAATCCAGAGAATTAAAGAGTCACGCGAGATCGCGTTGCAAAAAGAGAATAAATAAATGTAAATTGCTAGATGTATTATCCCCGAGGACGGAATCGTGTATGCATGGATGATTGGTATATTGTCGATCCTCCTCAGTGCATATCGCAATATCTGTATTAACATCGCAATATTAAGTTTATTCTGCATTAAGATCGAGGAGAGAAAAATCCGACGGCTCATTTTGTTTCTCATTTTGTCTCTTCGAAAACTAATTCATTAAAAATAAAAAAAGAGAAAATTGAATTTGAAAAAACTTTCATTGCGGAATAATCGAGTGATAATTCAGATCGACAAG